AGTGAATTTTCCTAGTGGTTCATAGAAAAAACTGTTTCCATGAGCTACACGAAAAATTCACCCTACTATTATAAGAACAGAACATAGTCTTATTCGGATCATATTAAAGAGAGACCCTACAAACCCCATAATCGCCTCGAACAACACTATGTTTTCTCTTTTTAATATTGGAGAAAAATTTTCCTGATTCATTTTTATAGCTCAATTTAAAATCTAAATATCTCTTTCTAGGCAAACCAAGGGCCGCTAATATTTTAACTTTGTTAGTTTGTCGGTGAGAGCTTTCATTTGACCTGAATATATCCTATCATTTTGATTATCAACACAAACGCCTCCATTGTTAGTACTGTTTCATTTTATTATTGTTTACTTCATACAGACAATCACAAAATTGTATCTTTCATATGATGAACTTCATGATGAGGGTGCTGAAATTATTGGATATACTTTGAAGAAAAACATAGTAATGGAAATTTTCTTTTAATTAATTTTTTTCCTAAATGGTCATTATTGTCTAATACAGGCACTCAAAATACTTGAGATCGATGCCAATGATATTGGTATTAAGGGTACTGAATATTTAGCAGATGCAATAAAAGAGAATATGGTAATAAAATTTTATTTATTTATGTTACTGAAATCAGAACTTTAAGATTTGAGAGTTCTTACGATTTATTGACTTTCATACATGACTTAGATTCCGTCGTTTCTTTAACTTCCTTGGATTATTTCAATTCCCAGGCTTCCTTCAGACCCTCGGATTTTCTGGGTTTCTTAGATTCCTTGAGATTCTTCAGTTCCTCGAAGTCTTCTCAATTGTTGCTGATACCTGCTTTTCTTTCTTTGTTATCTGAGTTCCAAAATCCTCAAAAGTTCAGATTTCACGGAATTCAGCTACTGCTGCAATTTCTGGCAGTCAAATCATCATAATGAGCTTTGTCGTATGTATTGGACAGACAGAACAATGAAAATGAATAGTTCGCGATGAGTTAATCGTTTTTATTTGAGGGAATAACGCACCAGAGGTCGAAAACGAATCGAATTTGAAATTTTAGAACCTAGTCCGAATCGAGATTTTTCTATTTATTTCGGTCTCTGCGATCTACTCTTCTTGGCATGTTATAAAGTTGCAACAAAAAAAAATATAGCGGTTGTTGCTAGATGACGACACAATGTTCTAAGGAAAAGAAAATGGAAGCAAAAAAAAAGTGTTGCTCTGTGACTAAAAACATTGAATGACTCATTCTTGTTTTTTTTCAGTATTTACGACAAGAAACAAATAAGTAATAAAAACTTGATTTTTTAGATAGATATGTCATCATGTCTTCTTGATCGTTTGCCTGTCGAATGTCTGTATATGATATTTGAATATTTTTGGGCTCAAGACATTTTTCATTCATTTCTGAATGTCACTCAGTATATTAATCAAGTATTATACAATTATAACCGTTACTTGCTTAATTTTGAATCAATTCGTAAGAAAGATTTCGATCTCATTTGTCGTTCTATTAAACCTTGTCAAATTCAATCACTTATACTCTCAGATAGTGAAGATACCGTAGGACAATCTCAATTGTTTCTTTCATTCTTTTCTATTAATCAATTGATTCATCTTCGTGCATTAACATTGATCAGTATCGATCGTAATTCCATATCTGCTTTTTCCGACATACACAAACTTCCATGTCTTGATTCGATTGAAATCGATAGCAATTCTCAAATTTCAATCAATTCCATTGCATCTCAATTAAAACGAATCATTGTGAATTCTTGTTCTGATGATTATTCCAATCATGGAATGTTAATTCCACCTATCCACTTACCCCGTCTACGCTATTTATCTTTAGAAAGATGTTCATTTTCTCGATTGTATTCAATACTTCGTTTTGCATCAAATCTAATTTCACTTCATGTTTCAATCATATATTGGAGTTCAATGGAAATGAATCGTTTGATCAATAATGATCAAGAGTCACCATTCAAACTTGTTTATCTCTATATGACGATGAATGTACGAAGTGAGTGTAGAAAATAATAAATCTAATCTAATCTAACCCCATGTCTTCCTATTTTTTTGATGTTTCAATATCACAAGATTCAATTCAACAATTTCTCTTACGAATGCCTTCTCTTCGACACTTAGAATTGATTGTTAATTATAATGGTCACCACTCTTTATGTGATGGATATCACTGGGAAATATTTATTAGGAATCAACTGACAATGCTCACTAAATTTGATTTCCATTTCAAATTAGCATGGTATCAAACACATGATTGGGTCAACGACGACGTTATACTTGCTCCTTTCCTAACTTCATTTTGGATCGGTCAAGAACGACAATGGTTCGTCGTCTATAATCGTCAATCACGGAGTCTTTTCACTGTACCTCGATTTACTCCAACAATTTGTTCACATCGGTCGGCATCAATTTTACCTCATACAACAACTGTACCTAGAGAGAAATACGATATATTTTATGATCATATCACTGAACTTATTCTTGATAATAGTAAGACTTCGACATATCGCTATAAAAACATTCGGAAGCTGTCACTTTCAACTCCAAACTTTGATCATCAACAGTTTGATCTTTCAAAAGTTGAAGTGTTGACTGTGCAAATAAGCGAATGGACTTTAGAGATGCTAATAAAACTCATTCATCAATTGATGCCGATGCTCTCTCATCTTATAATTACCAGTTCTTTTTCTTGGAAAATTTCCCATCAGACTAATATCATGCCTCTCGTCAACATTCGTACATTAAATCTATCTCACTATTCAAGGTTTTTAGATGATGAAGAGCTTTCATGGACTCAGTTTTTTCCATGTGTTCAACGATTGATCATTTCTGTCAATACTCGTCGGCAAATGATGATTTTAATCGATCGGTTCGAACATTTATCAAATGCTTCATTCTTCGTTAAAAATTGTCAGATTAGTACAGAGGAAAAACTACGTGAACCTCAAGTAACACAGGAATGGTTCATTGAAAATACACGCCGTCTATCGATAAATCATAATTTCATCTGTCAAATCGACTATCAATATCGTTCATGGATTCATTTGTGGATTGGCGATTGTGAAAATCGATCGAAGGTGAAAAGAAACAGTTGGTTACGTCAATGTTTGCCATGCTGTTTATCAGATACTACTGCAAAATAGCAACATGGTTCACCTTCATCATCATAATATTAATTGTTGCATTCAATGTAACAATCATTCTGCAAACTCTTTAAAGACAAAGAGTATTGTTGATCAAGGGTGTAGGTGTTGGGTGAGGGTGTGGGTACATTTGTTCTACCCACACCCTACGATGCAGAGATATATGATGATCCATATTGTAAAAACACACACACGATGGATTCATTGACCAAGGTATAATTATTACCTTGATCAAACAAGCATGCTGACTGATTGTTTTCATAGTCGCTATAATTTTCGGAAAGATTCATCTCAAACCAGATGATTTCTTTTGAGATAATGAGTCGTCAAACATCGTTACTTTTACTCATCTGTTTGCGCTGAATTTGTTTTTACAATTAAGAAATGAATAGACTAAAGAAACTCTAAAACAATATGAGTACAAACTGCGATTCGGCTAAGATATCGACTTTTTACCTTAATTTTCGAATAGGACCTCATCTGCGAGATGTGAATTTTCGAAAATAACTACAAATAATGAAATCATCTATTGAAGATATTTCGTCCTAAAATTCTGGAACTTTGTAAGCAGATTCCATGGAAAATTATAGTAAAACTCATTTTATATTAAAATACTTAAAGTATTATATTTAATTGTGGTTTTCAACAGTTTCTAATGCAAAATTTATCTAAATCTTTACTCTTTTGATTTTATTGATTTTTGAGCAGTACTTTCAACTGTTAAATCTGAATCAAACGAATCATTTGATTGTAAATTCTTCTAGGTTTTTTTAAATGAAATTTTGAACCAAATAAAGATTTTTTTTCTAGTTGATTTTGAATCTTTAGACGGTTTTTGTTTTTTTTTATGTTGAATATTCATAATAATTATCAGAAGAGTTATTAGTAAAACAATGCCAATAGTTCCAATAATAATAATAAATAAAAATTGTTTATTTTTTAAATCTGATTCTTCATTGGTGAAATTCAATTTTAATGGCGTAGTTCTACTAAAAACTAAACGAAAAAATAAAACCAACCAACCCAGAACGAGCATTATGGCGACCAGAAACAGCCGTATACTGCAGTTTACGGCGGCGTAAACTACTGTATACGCCAAATTTACGGCTATTTACGGCCATATATACGCAGTATTTCGTGGGACCATATTACGACCGTAACTCGCCGTGACGTATACGGCACAACACGGCGATCGTATACGACCCTAATAGCAGCGGGACATGTCACCTACGACAACGGGCACGGCCGTATACGGCACCGTTTACGAACGTAATACAATCGTAAACGGACCTAAACTCATAGTACACGACTTCCGCTATTCCACTAATAAAAGAAACGCCTAACATGTTTCACACTATTTCGAACTTTCTTCAATCACAGAAAAAGACTGATCGAGACCGATTCAGACCTTTTTTAAACCATCCCGAAAAGACTCACTGAGACTAATTGAGACTTTTTTTTAAATCTCAGAAAAAGACTGATTGAGACCGTTTGAGACTTTTTTAAATCACAGAAAAAGAGTCATTGAGACACATTGAGTACTTGTTTAGGATCATAGAAAACAACTGATGGACACCTATGGAACCTTTTTTGAATTAGAGAAAAAGAGTTTTTAGACTTTCTGAGACTATTCTGAGCTTCACAAAAGTCTCATAAAGTGTGAAAAAGACTTTTTCTGTGAGTGAAAGACGTCTCAGAAAGTCTTTTCGACTTTTGAAAAAGTTGCAATAAGTCTTTTTCTGTGTTTGGAAAAAGTTTCAAACTGTCTGAATCAGTTTGTTTCTTTGTTTGAAAAAAGTCGGAAAAAATCTGAAGGAGTCAGTTTGTGTGTTTCAAAGCAGTGTGGAAAAGTCTCAATGAGTCTTGGTGTTGGATTGAAAAAGTTTGAAAAAGTGTTTTTCTTTGGTGGTGTAAGTCTGAGAAAGTCTGAAATATTTGTTGTCTTCAGTGGCAAGTGGTGTGAGCATAACTCGATAGACACGGAAGTAGGAGTTATTCATGCGAGAGAAATACATGCTTTTGTTGACTTTGGAGAACATTACCGCTGCTCGATACGCCGTATGGAAGTGGCAAAAAGTGGGAAAATCTGCCGATTCTAAGAAAATTGAGGCCTTTTTATGACTTTTTCCCGCGCGACACAGCTTCTGATAACAGTGCGAAAATGTTGTAATAAGATTGGGTAGTAGAGGTTGTGTGAGTTTGTGAGGAGCTTGGGATACTTCTAAAGATAGGGAATACTAACGAAAGATTCTCCTTTAGGTATCTGAATATTTGTATTGTGAGATTTCATAGCGGGGAAGAATTTTGAATATAGGTCAGATTCAGGCTTTTTCGAACTTTTCGGAAGATGTGTCTGATAACAGGAAACCTGTAAAAGAGCATGTGCAAAAACCATAAAGAACTTTTTTGGTTTATAAGGTGGATTGCATTCTAGTCCATGGCTACACTTCGGGATATTCTCTAAGGAACGGTGCTTCGTTAAAAGCATAGGGACCAGGCATGCCAGTTTCCGTATAACATGTAGCATTGTGGAAAACGTCTTTAAATATATATGAAATTCAAGAAAGGCCATTACTTACTGAGCATATAGGAGCGCAATGAAAATAGCTATTTCAACGACTGCTCTTCAGAACAAGAATCGCCTGCTCAACGTCTTTTTTTGTAGTTCCTTCTATACCGCAATACCGGAAGTCTTACCGTGCGGCTCTATATATGAAGAGAAGCGAGACTCAACAGGATCAAAACACACTCTTTTGATCAAATAATACTACTCAAAACTCCATTGCTCATCCCTGTTACCCATACGTGAATCTCAATTCAAATGTTCACGAGAACGTGGTGCACGCCTTTCTATTGTAGACCGTCAAACTGAACAATACTAAAACAGACTAAAAATGGCTCTTTTTCGATAACAAATAATACTCCTCAAATATCTTTTATTCATACTTCTTACCCATACCTGAATCTCAATTGAAATCACCACGAGCATGTGGTGCAGCTCTTTATATAGTACGGCGTGAGACTGCATATACTATTTTTTGATCAAATAATAATCCTCAAACATGCATTGTTCATACTTGTGAATCATACCTGAATCTCAATTGAAATGACCACGAGCACGTGGTGCAGCTCTTTATATAGTACGGGGTGAGACTGCATATACTATTTTTTGATCAAATAATACTCCTCAAAATCTATTCTTCATACTAGTTACTCATACCTGAGTCTCAATTCAAATGACCAACAGCACGTGGTGAAGCCCTATATATAATCGGGGTTAAGACTAAAAAAAAGGGTGTGGGTGAGTGTGGGGTGTAAGTGTGGGTGGGTGTGGGGTGTGGGTGTGGGGTGTGGGTGGGTGTGGGTATGGGTGTCGGTAATCAGTTCATCCATACGAACATTCACACCCACTCACACCCACTCCCACACCCACACTGTACCTGATATTGTTATGGATGATCCATTACAACAATTCGAACATGTTGGAAATGGAGATGAAGGTATGGTAAATGGTGATATGACAAATGTTGGTTTATCTGTCGTTAATGTGAATTGAAAACGTTTATTCCTGAGAAGGGCAAAAGAAAAAATGTTAAGAAGAAGTTATCTGATAAATTGGATAATCGAATTGATTTGGAATTTTGGTCACCACCTGCATGGCATCTTCGTTCGAGAACACGTTTGAATCAAGATAAAGATAGTAATATGGTGTCTAATAAGAAGAAAAGCAAATATGAAAAGAAATAGACGGACAATGTTCTTCCAGTTTTAACGTTTACTCTCTTATGGTTGGATTTATTTTATTTCTATTGTTGGATGTTGATTTTTTGTATTTTATGATGCTGTTCCAAATATATTTTCAAATGGGATAGTAGATTTCATTTACGTTGGTTATTTTAGATGTTCGTATGAGAAAAATCTCATAATTATGTATATGGTAGAACAAAAGAATGTGTTCTTACTGACGAGTACATGTTCTATGTACATGGAGATTCTATTTTAATTGTTGATAAATTGAGCTTCTTAATGACATTTCAATTTTTATATGTTATTTTTCAGAAAAATATTTCAGATTGCATTTATATTTTTTAGTATTTTTTATGGATTCATTAAGTAAAGGATGTATTGGTGTAAGTTCTTGCTTATACTTTGAAATGGTTTGAATATTGTAACACTATGTATTTAGAAACTTTTACGTGGTGAAGAACTAGTTTTACCTGTTGTACTGTTGCTAGAGGTATTTAAAAATATGTGAGTTTATTCTAATTCTAATAGTTAAAAATAATAGGAAACTTCTTTACTGTACGTTAATGCTGACGTTTGTGATGAACGTGATGTGGCAAGTGTTCGCTTGCGATTATCGGATTCCACAGATTCGTTTTATGGTATGACGGCTATGATTTTATACGTTTGTGCTTAATTATTTTCCTAATAGGATGTGTATGTAAAACGAAAAAAGTAAATGAACTAGTGCCAGGTGTAATGGTTCGTTTAGAATCGTTGAACATCGAATCTCTTGGACAAAAATAAGTATGCTTAATTTACAATCAGTGTAACAACTTTAGTCTTTCCCATTTCCTTGTAGAATTGTTTGTCAAATTGTTGATATAAATGTAGTATGTGAACAAAAGGATAAGAGTACATTGTCAGAAATCGTTCATCTGCGGAAAATACGATGTGTAAAAATGATTCACAGGCTTGTAGACTAGAAGAAAAGCCAATTTTGATTCGTGTTTGCGATGTCGATCTCAGCACAGAGAGAAGGTACGTGCTCGGTATTTGATATTTTCCTTTTTTTTTTTCATTATTAGTATTTATTTTTACGTTTTATGTTTTCTCGTTTATAGACACACTATACGAGGAAGAGTTACTTTCAAAAGTTCAATGAGAACATACAATCTCGCTGAAAATCGATTCTTTTATTTCGACATTACGGATGATTCTGAAACGTTACGTGTAAAAGCAATTGATAAACAGTGTGATCGTCTTTTTTTAACTATATATGTTGGAGAAGTATGTTAAAAATTTTTTAAAAATGATTATAGATATTAATGTTTTATTTTCTTAAAATAATTTAGACAGTTGAAATATCAAAATTTTATGCGACGATTGCAAACAAAAAATACAATGAGCTATCTAGTGATTATGAGGTTGCGGTGGTAGATTATATTGAATGTATAGTTATGCATGACATTGCACCCATAGAAATTGAACATACTTTTCAGTTTCACTCATTACGAGACGTAGAGATGCGTTAGGTTGGCAGTATGTATGGTTGGTATTTGATTTATAGTGTACTAAATTGTATAATAATGTCTCTGGTGTTGTTGGGTAGATGCAATTGGAATTATCAAGAGTATTGATGAACTTAGAATAGTGTACGAACGAGCAACTTCGAAACCATTGTCAATTGTACGTTTATTTTTATTTGATTCAACAGGAAATATTCAAATTAACCTATGGAATGATATTGTAAGGATGATGGCAAGAATTTGAATTGTTGCCTATTTGTGCGTACTTTATATCTGCATTTTGTTCAATAGGTATCAACGTTCATCGGTCAAAAAAAATGATATTCTTGCTGTTAAACGTTTTCGATTGAATATGTATCATAGTAAGTATAAGCAAAATCCAAATATTTTTTCTCAAAGCAATATATGTTTAGAGAAATGTTCTTTGAATAATGTAATGAGTAGTGATATGTATTTTTGAATCCTACATTGGCAGAAGCAGAGAAACTTTGTTCATTGATTATTGGTCCAATATTTGATGATAGTAAAACAAAAGGTAGATTGACAATTTGTGTATCATATAAAATATTATGAAAGTTGTATTTTAGATGAATGTCGAGGAACTGATGATATGGAACATGGTGATCAGCATTGATCATAATGGTTCTTTAATCTGTTAGAAGAAAACATTAGTGATAAATTTTTTTCCGATTTGATTGTTTACGTTTTCTCGTTTTTGGTTATATTATTCTTAAAGTTCATTATACTTTTTAGATGTTATAGTATATATTTTAGATCTTATGGGTAGTAAAATGTCTACGAATGAACATTTATTACATTCAATGAAGAATTTACGTTTGAGTAGTATTGACTCAACAACTTTTGAAGACAATAATTCTGTTACAATACGAATTTTAGAGATTCCATCACTATCATCACCATTCAGAAAACAAACGGCTGGTAAATATGATGTGATGAAAGATGCTGTAAATGCTCCTTTAGAAGATGATTCACCAACAAAAAGTTACATTTCAAGTATAGATGAAGTAATAATTGATGAAACAAAACATGGAAATTTTATATTAGAATCTGCTGGTGATACACCAGTTCTTCATGGTAAGGAGAATTAATTAATGCTTTTAATTCTTCTCAGTAATATTTTAAACAGATAGTTCGTTGGATGTGTGCCATTTTTCCAACGATAAATTTGCAAGTTTCGACGACAATTATACAAATGAAGAATTAGAATTGTTTATGCTAAAAGAAGAAAACTCCTACACGAAAGACATGAACTGTAAAAAACTAAATATTTTTTATGAAAAATTGTTGAGTAAGACGAATCAAAATGTAAAATATAAGGATATCCATGTCGAAGAACCATCTGATGAAGATATAGTTCGATATTTAAAAAATTTGTAATTTTTCAGATATTCTGAACGTTTATTTGACTAGCTGGAGTTACTTTATATTTTATTTTGTTCAAATGGATTCGCGCACTTGTTTAGAAGAATTAATCAATATTTCTGAACAATTGAAGGTATTTATTATAGTATAGCTGAATTATTTTATGTATTACAAGAACGTGGACGATTGTCATTATTTGATATAAACCGACCCAGTAAAAAATATTGATAAAAAAACGGTAGAAAACGCGTTCATAAAAATATGGAAACTTGCCTCTCTGTTAAAAAAAGCGTTCTATAATTTAGTGAACGCGTTCATAAACGGAGAAAAAAATTCTATGTTCAAAGAAACGCATTCTTTGTCGTTCCATGTACTTGTAGAATGCCTTTTTTCGATTTAAAAATAGTCCTACGACCGATCAGAAAGCGTTCTCACCCGTTTCGAGAATAGCAGGACGGAATCGCGTTCGTTCGCCTTCTCATGCGGAACGCCTAAGAATGGATTATTCGTATTGTTGAACGTCTAGAAATGGGTTCTTTGAACTGTTAAACGCATTCCGTACAATCTAAAACAGTTCTATAAAAACAAGAACGTATTCTCTGTCGTTCGCTGAATTGTGGGACGCTTTCAGCTGAATTTAACGTCAATTTAGATGCTAAATTGATAATGCTGGAGCACTACTGGTCGAAACTATCACCAAAAATGATGGAACCTTGACGAACTGTACTTGTCAGCTGAAACTCATAATTTTCAAAAAATATTTTTTTAAAAACGGTCTGAGCTATAAAGAATCGGAGAGCACCACTGGATAGAGCTCGCAAAGTTGCATAGGAGTAGATCTCTTCACGAAGCAAGTAGTAACGTCACTCATTCTTATTCGAGGGCTTTTATAGAGAACATGAAATCAGATGATAATGGCCAAGAACATGTTCCAAAAAATGTATTTAGCCTTTTTTAAAAGAAAAAAAACGTTTCAAAAAAACTGGAACCGTTGAAAACGCATTCCGAAGAGAGTGAAATGCATTCTTGACCGTTCCATTTTGGATTGCGTTCTACTTTTCTTGGAACGTTTTTTTTTCTTAAAAAAAAGACATTCAACATTTTGGAACGCGTTTTATACCATTTTTTCCGATAAAAATTTTTCACTGGGCAGTAATACGACAAAAAAATTCAAAATTTGTTGAAATTGATCTTATAGAATGTCAAAAACCAAATGATGATGATGAGGAGGAGGAGGAGGATGAAGACAAAGATGATGATTAACTATGTTTAGATTCTTTTTTTTATACAACTATTGAATAATACGTAATAAAACTCACCTGGAGTGAAATTATTTTCAGTGTCATTGAGAAATCATATGACAACGGATTGTTCAAGATATTTGACTATATAATGCATATGAAAAAACACCTCGTCCTGAGATGTCAAAGTTGGTTCAATTGATTTTAGAAGACGGAATAGGATAAGATCCAATCAATATAACAAATTCCATTCTACATATACACTCTAGAGTTAAAATCTGGATGTTGTAGCTTAACCGTTTCTCAACAAATAAGTGCATTTCTGTGATACCTCTGTTATCGTATGTGTCTTATGAACCGTTTGATCTATCACAAATTCTTGCTGTTTTATTTGATTGCAAGAAGATATTGAGATGCTAATTGTTACAAATGGTTACATATATTCTTGTGGTACTATGTGTAAATTTTTTCAGTCCTCACTCTTTACAATCTAAGCAGCATATGAGGTTTGCATTTTTTAACTCTTTTGGGCCCAGAGAGAATTTTTCAAAAATTATCCACTATAATTACTAGTTTTATTAAGTATAAGTTTATTATGATATTTCCCATCATCAGCAACATAATATTCTATGAGGAGATGGTTATTTAGTCACGATATAATCGAAAATAGTTATTAGTTAAATGCATGATTAGTTTTAAAGTAAGACAGAAAGAATTGCAAAAGACAACGTTGAAATTAATCGTTAATGTATACGATACGTTTTTAGAGACTCACAAAAATAATTTTTCAAATAGCAAAATACGTTTTCTTACACTTTCAAGTGTGCTCTACATAATCATTTCTTTCAAATGAAACAGTGTATGAAGTGTCGCTTTACGTGAACAAGCTGAATTAAAAATTCGTTGCCCGAACACCTTTTTATCAAAAATTTTGAAAACTTCTGTTGCTCATGTCCCTTGATTACTGTTTATTATGATAGGTAGATCAGGATCAATCCAACGGATGCTCGTACCAATCCAATCCATTCGACATCTCTGATTTATACTAATAAAAATCTGATAGATTTTCACTTTTCATATTTCTAAATAAGCGCTTTTTAAATAAAATCCTTTTCATATGCGTCACAGTTCTTTTTCCTGGAAATAACATATCAACCTGTCCAAGCGTGACCGAATCCCTTTTTTTCCGTGTACATTCTGTATTATCAGTGAGTTAGAAACATATGAGGCTGAAACTTTCACATGACACGTAGTCCTAGTTGCTCTACATGTGCCATAAGTTATATCAAGATTGCTGTTCTTATTCATGCTTAACGAGAACAATTATATACCGTGACGGCGGAATCAGAAAAAAAGGACCGTCATTTTCACTGAATCCATGAAAACTTCAAAATTCTACACAACGATACGGCTTATGGAAAAACAGTCTGTGGCAAAAGTGTAGCTTAGATGACAAACTATCTGAAGAAAAAAGGATGTTTTAAAAATCCTGAAATTTAATCTCATACCGTTGAAAATGCATCCTGACGGAATTACGTTTTCTGATGTCTGGTTCTCACTTATTAAAAAGCTATTGACATGAGTTTGATAATGATATATGCATGGGAAAGCGTTTTAGGCCTACACAGAAAATTCAGTTCATATTGTTCATATCGTTATAGTGCTAGATCAATTTTTCTGAAAAAACCCGCTCATCGCGGTGGACCGTTACGTGGACAGGTCGATATAGAACAAGTTGTTTCGTTTTTATTTTATTTTACACATCTTTATTTGACAATAATTCCGCAATTCTAATCAGTTTTATTCAAATTGTACAACTTATTGTATGAGGGAAATAGTCTTTGAGTTGTGTTGAAATCGATATATCACGAGGTACATATATAGAAAATAGTTTTCCACAATTGATTCGTGTTGCATCTCTCGTAAACCTGTGTGTTATTCTATCCAACGTTGAAAATAGAACTTGAAGGTTGACCGTTCTTATTATAGATGTTTTGATATCCAATAGAAATTGCTCGACATAATCATCATGAGCCGAAAACAACTCAAGTACACTCAGATAAGGATATTGAATAGGTGATAAATGTTGATTATCATATTTTGATTGTTCATAAGATTTGTTCTTCTGTGGTTTCCTATTGTATATAGTTAATTGTTCCATAAATGGGAAAGATTTAGCAATTTTCACAAAAAATTCATATTCAAAAGGACGGTCGTCATACAATGAAACTTCACGAACATATTTAAATAATCCATCTGGAAAATTATTTGTAATATATTCATATGTCTTTGCTCTATATGGATATGAATAAATATGACATTGACCATGTTTGAAATCTGGAAAATAATCGACACATGAAATAATTTTATTATTTTTAAAATCATTGAATGAATGTTGACAATCTTCATTTGATAATAAATAAACTTGATCGTTTAGATATAGACATGATCGTATGTTAAATAGAAATTTATTTAATTGAAACAAATGATTAATGATATTGTATTTCAAATTATAACCATCAACAAATCTTTTCTCACAATGCACGACAAGATGTAAATCGAGTTCTTCTAGATTGACCATTCGGTGTAGAAGTGGCACAATCAATTCATTATATTGAAATGTAGGTCGATCAGAATAGAGAGAAAACGCTTTTAGCTTCGGTAATTCTTTCTAAAAAAATAAATCAATTTATTTCAAAGTAGTAGATATTAAATGGATTGATTTACTTTATTATTAATTACTATCTCTGGAGTAGATATTTTACAAATATCAAGAAAAACTTTTTCAAGTGAATCGAAACGACCATCAAGTAAATAAAGACAATCTGTAAATTTGTCCAATTTGATATGCAATTCTAACAGAATCGAAGAGGAAATAGTTGTAGACATTTCAAATAATGATTGATACCAAAAAGATGATCTATAATCGAAATATTTTAACTTGGAGAATAAAGTTAAAATGTGGGCAAATATATTTGAATTGCTTGTGTCATTCATACTTAAACTTTCACATTGAACAACATCAATAACAAGTGATGAAATTTTATCTTGAAATATGTAAGTTAAAGGAATTTCGTCTAAATATAAATAAAAAATTAATGATGAGATATTTGAAATATTTGGATGATATTATCACATCTATTCTAGTCTTTCTCTCTTCTTATAATGTAAATATTAGTTTTCTCTAACTGAACAAATTGATTTACAATAAGATTTTTCTCTTTTCTGTTCATATAGAAAAAAAAATGTCATATGATACAATTTTGAGAAGAATCTTTTTAAAAATAATTGTATTTATTTATCTATATTTTTCAAATATTAATGATTGAAAGAAAAAAAAATCAAAAAACTACTCACCAGTAAAAATACGTAATGCAATGTTCTTCTCGATATTATGTAAACCAAGTCCCGATAAATTAGGATAACTTGTACAAAGAAGAACATCTTCCATAGACGAACATTCAACATCTAACCATTTGATGTTATGATGAATCGAAGGTAATATTTGTGAACAAAATCGGTCAAGTATTTGATGATCTAATCGATCAAATGAACCATTAGAAGAACATCTTATCATTGTTAAGTGATTGGTAAAAATTGAATCATGTACAAGTTTATTAAATCTTTTATTTAAATCGATGAATAAATAGAGCACTTCAATATTGTCCAAGTTTTTCAAAATGAGAAGAAGAATCTCATCAGGTACATCAATTAAAGTCGACAAAGAACCTTCCATATTTATCTTCATCTGTGTATTTTTTTCGCTTGTATAGACGTATACAATTTAACCGAATTCGTCAATGAAAATAACGACAAATTTTTTTCTATAATCGAAATTGACGGTAAATAGACGGAAAAGAATGACATCACTTCTCTCTCTCTTTCTTGTATTTCATATGCCGATAAACATTCATGTTCTCTATTATAGATCTGATTAAATAAATAATATGTCGTTCATATCGAGTAAAAATGTCTCTTCACAAGTTTATTATTATTATTTCAGTTTCAATAAAATATTCTGAAAGCTGATACTTCATATTTATTTCTATATTTTTCGTTCGATTGATTTTTTTCTAAAATAGTTCAAGAAAAACTAAATACGATAAAATAAGATGAATAATTATTATAGTAGAAATCATCATTAGAGGAATTCTATATACGTGTCAGTGGCGTATTCATCGCTTCGGCAAGCTGCCGATCGCCGTTCCATCGCGAAATATTCATTTTTCTATGTTTCTCTATCAGAGTCGAAAATAAAAGGGATTATACTGCCTTGAATAGATATCGAAAGTCATTTTTGATCATGACTGCCATCACAAATATCCTCAATTCGTTCCTGATATTTATTCTTAAATTTGTCTTTTATTAGACAAATAATATCTTTATTTCTTCTTATGAGATAATAATGAACAACATAATATTAGTTTTCATTGGTTGTTCCACATTCGACGATCATGATATCTGTTTTAGGTCGACCAGTGACACTTCCTAAAATAATAAACATAGCTTATTACTAAAATAATATTAGTCAAACTCAAACATACCCTGATTCATGATGGCATGCATAACGTCCGTGCCACTTGAAATTTCGCCGAGAACAACCTTCAATAAAAAAATAAAAGTAATTAAAAACGAAACATTCTATTTTTTTACATATGTATCATCGAAGAATGGAAGTCCAATATACAGGGTGTCTCATAAGTTGTGGCAGATTTTTTTAAATCTAATTTTTGATGATAATGAATACAAATTAAACTCAAACTTATACATATGACACGGCTTAGCATGTACTTTTATTTCATATATTTTATTTGGATTAGATCATTGAATATACAAGAAAATAAACAAATTCAATGAACATACCCTCCATTGACAAATATCAAAAGTCTGCATTTTTTCGCTACTTTGTTAGTTTTTTCTCCAATTACTATTCCTATGGGAGTAAGTTTTTACAAAAGAAATCACACATTCTGATAGCACTTGAAATGCTCTATGATATTATGTATTAATACAGTGTCTTAAATTTAAGTAGCGAAAAAAAATGCAAATTTTTTGGGCTAGTCGATTCGGAGTATATTCATTGTATTCAATTTTATTTCAATCTATAAACGCAAGAAAATAAGTAAATAGACAGGGTGATAGAGAATTTTAAGCTCTATCAGAATCTATAGTTACTTTTTCATACAGATCATTCTATACGGATGAAAAATTTTTAAAACTAGTTTTGATGACGAAGGAAAGATCAAGTCTGGGAATCTGGACATGAGGGTGCCTTCGTTGTCTTCAATTTATTTTGGTAATGAAAAGGTCAAAACTAAAACCTAATTCTACAGAATGATAGAAAACTCCGCGAGCTTTCAGAATATGTAATTAGTTTTAAAATAACTTATTTTTATAGTGACAATATATGAGAAATACAGAGTGAAACTTTTGTCGGGGTATATATATTGTAACACATTGATGGTGTGCTTATTTTGCACATGTACCAATTTCTTTATTTTTTTGTATATCCAATGATTAAATTCAAATAAAATATATGAAATAAAAGTACATGTTAAGTTGTATGATACGTGTAAGTTTGAGTTTGATTTGTATTCATTATCATCAAAAATTAGATTTAAAAAAATCTGCCACAACTTATGAGACACCCTGTAAGTTATGAAAAATTGGGAATTATTGGTATTCGGATCAAAATTAGTCATCGATAAAGTACCGGGTTTGGAATGTTTGTTGTTAAAATTTTCATCAGCAAATGTTTTCCCATAAATACTAAATAAAAATTCATAAATTATATGTATATATTTTCAATGGTTAGTTTACCATTCACCACCCGAACCATCGCTATTTATAAAAATAAAAGAATATTTATGAAATAAAATTTTATTTTGTAAGTCACTTACAAATTCGTTATATCACCTCCTATTAAATTAAATAATAAAAGTAATAATAACGAAAAAATATTAATAAAGTCTTTACCTCGAATTAAATATTGGGGAAAGACATGAGTTAATTTACTACCAACATAACATAAATGCTTGTCACCAACACACAAACTTCGAAAATTTTCTGAAAATAAAAAATAAATATTTTTTAAGCAAGAAAATAACTTTTTCATAACATACCTGTTGTTTGTGGTACATTATTGTAAAGCTGTAAAAAAAATTCATAAATATTTATTTTTAAAAAGATATTTCTTGGTTTTACCTTGAATACCATTCGACCAATAACTTTATGTTTAATTGAAAAATCAAAATAAACGCAGGTATGAGACGCGAAATTACTAAAAGAAGTATCTTTTATATAAATTTAAAAGTAATAGCTCGATACTTACTTAGATGAAAGTAATAAATCGTGCTTCATCAACATCGGTGGCAAAACCTCGCGCATTTTTTGAGACAATCCTTTGTCAAATTCATTTCTGTTAATCAATTGTCTAGAAAAAGAAAACGTTTTAGATTATATAGATGTGGTAAGTTTATGATTACCCATTATTCACGTAATCGGAGATCATTATTTGATAGTGATTAGTGTTCAATAACTAAAACAGTTGGTTTGATAAATGCATAGGACCTTCTCAGTACTTACATTGAAACTGGTGGTGTACGATCCCATCCAAAAACGATGGTCAAAACGAAATGTTTGATTTTTTTTTCATATTCAGTAATAATAATACCCTGTGAATCAATCTATAAAGTAAATTGTTATGAAAACAGGAATATAAAAAAGAAAGATTAACACTACGGTTTCTTTATTATATTTAAAACCATGTTTCATAAAAACAAGTTTTGATAAACATAAAAGTGAGTAATTGATATTCTGTTCAATTACAGATGGGTGTGGGTGTGGGTGCGGGTGCATGAGTGAGTGTGGGCATAATTAAAAACACACTCGCACACACCCACACCCTCTATAGATATCTTCATTGTTCCTATGCGTTTTCATTTATCCGCTGGGATAGAATGTATGTAGCTATTCACATATCTAACACTTTTCTCATAGAAGAAATTATTTTCTCATTTTTCGATTTCATTTTATCTTTGGAAACCTTCATTATTCCTATGATGTTGCATTTTCCCGCTGAAATTGAATCTGTTACGTGTTGAAGTAGCCCACGGCTGCCCATATTTGACTCGGGTGACGTTTTTTCGCCGGAAGTAAGCATTTATGTCACCGATCAATTCAATGTCCAACCCTCTTACAAAATATGAATATACGTGTTCCTTGATAGAATGATGTCAATACCTATGCCTTGATGAAATGACGTCAGTAACTATTCCTCAATAGAATGACATCAATGCTTGTCTCTCAAATGAATAGTATCAATTCTCTTTCGCATTGTTCTTGCTTTTATCGTCACATCAATAAGTCACTCGTATCCTCGCTTCATTGATATTTTTATTCAAGTCTCTCCTTGATTTTTCGTTACGTCCGTTTTCTCTAGCTGTGTGTATAATATATAAGGAAGGCGATACAATTGCTTTGTATGCCTTTCGATTGTAAAAGCATCAATATACGTGTGATCTTCATCTGCACTGCAGTACTTGGATCAAGATTCGTCAAAGTACTCCAAACCAAAAAAGTAAATACTTCCTTTGAATCGATTGCATTTATAATAGAATTTTTATTGAGATTGAATCTGGAAAAATTTACCATCAAATGTTTCTTTTTTCTGGAAATTTTATCGATTTTCAAAGCAAAAATTTTTATCCTATGATGATAGTACGATTAGAAAGAAAGATTTTCATTCCAAGAGAATCATTCCAGTAATCAGATTCGATTCGATCCGACGGGTATCTGATCGAAACCTGGGATACAGAACGACATTCCGAACTGTACCGTTGGCACCTTTTAAAAATTAGTGCTTATTTAATTCAATAGGTTTCATTAGCGGTATTCTTCAATAGTTTTGTGTTTCGAATAACCATAGAATTTTGTTGGTACGAGATGCAATCAGATGTGTCTTTGTGAACCTATCTATTTTGATCTGAATACAATACAGAATCGATGCTTTTAGCCGTCAAAAAATGGTCAGAAGAGTGTTAAAAACTACAGAACTGAACTCTTTCACTATTTTCTGGAGAGTTTTTAAGTTGAGATTGGCTAGAAAACCGTCGATTTCTTAGTTTTATAATAATGGAAGAACCGAACCTTAACTAAAGAGTCTCTCATTCAAAATTTTCACTCTTCTTAGGTTGTTAGAATTGTTAGGTACCCCTGTAACCGCACTTACATTTTATTTATTCAATTTTAATTCATA